TTTTTTTAAAATCTTTGCCTGAGACTGTTTAAGTCCGTAGATAAGTATTTTTGGGATAATGAAATATGAGTTTTTTAATCTTTGCCTGAGACTGTTTAAGTCCGTAGATAAGTATTGTTGGGATAATGAAATATGAGTTTTTTAAGCTTGATAATCAAGTTACGAAACCATTATAAATAGAAGTCTATGAAAGTTAAAATCGAACATGAAGGATGATTTGCTGTAGCGAATTATTTGCCTTTGCTCTTATGCTAAGTCAGCTGGGCTCCATACTCACGAATGCCTGCATGATGTACATGATAGCTGAGCTGCCCGTCCGCAAGTTAATCAAAGCAACCAAAATCTACTGCCAGCACATCGGCGATACCTTTGCTGCTTATGACATAAACACGACAGATCGGTTGTTCATAGTCGTAATTTTTTGGTATCGGGGCACGATATTAATCCGTGGGCTCGAGCAAAGTTATAGCCTAGTCAGCCTAAGTGGCTTAAGGTGATTTGGCGACAGAACGAAGAGATTGCCACAGTCAGATGTCATTGAATTTCACATAGCCTTGCCTCGACAAGATTTAATCAGCACCCCGGACATGATTCGATACCGGTTCGTGGGTATCGTGGCGTATCCAGATGCTGGTGGGTCATACGGCAGAAGCGACATTCAAGGTAAGCTAGGCCTCGACAAACTCACATTTTTATAGCGGAAGTGTCGAATGAGCATGCATGCATTTATATCGACCATATTACTTAATTTTATTATACAAGTAGAGTTTTTTGACTACCATTAGATCAGTTACATGAAATGTACTCACCCTATTTCGTATAAGGTGATGAAGGACTGGTATTGGTCGATTGTAATAGAAAAAATACGTTAACTTCATCTACAATCCCAACAAATAATGTGATACAGGAAAAGACCTGGCATTCCTTGAAATTCTATCTGCTCTGTGACCTAAGGACACTCCTGGCAATGTGGCCGAGTGGTTAACGTGTCAAACTCACATTCTGCACTGTCACGGTTCGAGTCCCGCTGGGGGTGTTGATAAGACCGATGCGAGGTCGAAACTGCAGACCACTCCAACCAGGATGAGAACAACTTTTGGGAAAGCAAGGCTATGTGAAATTCAATATAAACGTCAGCTCTACTCATATCATTTTGGGATAATTCTACTACCATTCCTTCATCACCTTAAATGAAATTGGGTGAATACATCTCATATTACTGATTTACTGGTAGTCTCTAAACTCTACTTACATACGAAATTAAGCATGCATTTTTAGTGATGTGTTAACGTGAGATTTTTGCAAGAATGACACCCAGCTCTGATAATGTCCATCATATGATGGACGAAAGCTCAGCACGTTTTCACCCGAAACGAGGGAGGAAGTCTCGTGAATATCCTATACAATCCACTGGCTGCAGTACAACTGGATTCATTCGTCCTCATTTGGTGAGATCGACCAACGAATCCCTTCTTCATGCACTTTCATACAAAATGAAGGTCCCCCTAACAATCTTATCTCAGGAGATTCATCTAAAGCAAATTTCTCTCCGTATCTAAGTATGCATTTATCATTGCAATCGAACACTATTTATGTCAGAAATGAGTAACGTCGTCGAGTAAAATGGAAAATGCATGTGTGCCTAATGAAATCCTACTATAAAAATGTGATTTTGGTGAGACCTGGCTTGCCTTTACTGTCGCACCTACCATTTTATCCACTGGCACCCGTGGCCGTGTAGTGGAGTTCTAAAGTCATCACGAAACCCAAGATAGGGTATATAATCCAGCTGGGGGTTCTGGTGAGAGACGGTTAGGCGAGTCAAAAATAACGTCCATTCCTGCCTTGTGGGAGGCAGGACTAAAGATAATCCGAACTGTCTGCCCTTAAATCACCTTATCAACTTGGGCTTACTAGAAGGTATGAAGACCAAGATGGTGTTGTCTTTTGTGCCGTCTCAGTCTCCTTTCGTTGTATAGAGGTTGTTTGAATTTGTTTTCGCAACATGGTCATATTGGCAGGAAGACTTAGAGGAACGCACTTAGTACGGAGTCCATTGTCTGCATCATCATTTCCTAATTTGAACCGTGGATGTGGTGATGAAAGACTGGTAGAAGAAGAGCTAACGTGTCCATTGAATTTCACATAGCCTTGCTTTCCCAAAAGTTGTTCTCATCCAGGCAGGAGTGGGCTGCAGTTTCGACCTTGTATTGGTCTTATCAACACCCTCAGCGGGAGTCGAACCGCGACTGTGCAGGATGGAAGCTCGACACGCTAACCACTCAGCTACACTGCCACAAGCGCCTTCTGAATCACAGGGCAAATGTGAATTTTCTAGGAAGGCCAGGCCTTTTTTTGCCATATCATATTCATTTGGTGGAATTGTCGATGAAGCAAAGATATATCTGCTATCACAATCGACTACTAAACTTTATTTTTCGAATTAAGTATTGTTTTTCGTGTCTACCAGTAAAGCAGTAATACGAGATGTATTCACCCAATTTCGTTTAAGATGATGAAGAACTGGTAGAAGAAGAATTTTCTCACAATGATATAAGTTGAGCTGACGTTTCCATTGAATTTCACATAGACACGAAAAACAATACTCAATTCGAAAAATAAAGTTTAGTAGTCGATTGTGATAGCAGATATACGTTTGCTTAATCGACAATTCATAACATGGATCTGACATAAATTCCGGATTGCATAATTCCAGTCATTCTTTACTTGATTTATAATGCTTTGATGCTACTGGACCGATGTTATGGTCTGTTGTCATTACTCAGAGTTGTGGATTACGGTTCTAGATCCTAACATGCCCATATACAGATACAACTACGCGCGCGCACACACTCATGCCCAAAAGTTCTTGGATCTATATAAAAAGGACCGACCAAACAATTTTATATCCAGTTATATATATACTTTCTATCAATATGGTTTTAGTTGTAAGTATATATAGTATATAGATAAGAGCGCATATGAATAAAATATGTTTTTCGGAAACTCCCTTGGTTCACAAAAAACTATATGAGTCACCTATTTCCCCCTCTATGTTTATGTCTATTATTCAAACATAAGTAATTCTTACTTAACCTCGTATCGATATTTCTGGCATTCATTCTATTATTTAATATAGTGATTTCAATGATCCATTTAATTGTGCTCTTAGCTGTACACATGTCATGGTCAACAAAACGACTAGGTTAAAAACCTTTTATTTCATATCCAATTTATGCCGATTTTACCATTACCTCCGATTTCTTATACAGATTCCACCACATAGAAGACATTTTTTTATAGCAGCAAGATCTCGATAATGGGTAAACTTTCTCTCTCTCTCTTAAAAATGGGCAGTAATGAAGAAAATTTAGCAGTTGCCTTGACAATCTTTTTTATTCCACAATTTCCCGTAATAAAACAGAAATGGCCAAGGCCAAGAAGAGATATTTGGTTCTTTATCTCTCCTTAAGCACTCCCCATAAAAGCATTAAATTGTTATTAATATGGTGTTATTTTGCATCACGTGATGGTTGTTTAAGCCAATCTGGTTCATTATCCAAAGAGTCTATACATGCTGATCTTAAACACACAATAGTAAGTGAACTTGATATTAATTAAAAAAAGAAATTATCTAATCTATCTTTAATGTATTTCCAGGTTGCATACTAATCATCTATTTATCTAAGTAACTACTTTGCTGTCAATCTTGCCTTTTCAATGACAGGTTCCTACATTTTTACCACTAAATTATCAGCCAAACTGAGAGATAAATATTAGTATATGCGAAGAAAATTTAAATTAAGAGGAATTTCTTCGTCTACACTTTATGAAATCATTTCCATTTCGATTGAAAGTGTGTGTAATAAAGCGATTCGAAGGTCGAATCTACCAGAGGCTGAGGGCAGATTCGTCTTGTAATATGATGGACGTCATCAGAGCTGACCAACATCTCTACAACCATATTGAAGTTAGCAAGTCAAGAAAACCCACAGGCTGCTTCGCCAATGTTGTTTCTCTGCCACAAATATGTGCATTTTGATGAGGTATACACTGATTTGATTCATCCAAGTCATATGTGCGTGTGCATGCTTGTGTATATTTACGGAACCAGCAATGACAGTTTAATCAATTAGAAAAGAAAGCAAGATCTTTCCTTGATCATCAAATTTTAATGACCACTAAGACCTGTCTTTTTACACATTTAATATCGCTTGACTCGTTAGCCTGAATATGCATGCAAGAGTGCTTACCAGCTCTGATGATGTCCGACATATTAAGGGCAAGAGCTTTGCACATTTTCAACTGAATCGAAGGAGATTGCCTTGGAAACGGCGCCTACAAGAAAGCTCCAGCAAAACCAATCGACACTCTCTTCTAAAACGAATCCACCCTTATCTTCCGGTGGGATTTACTTTCGAAGCTCTTCCTCGCACACACTTTCATTGGATACGAAAGTGTGCTCAGCAGCCACATAAGATCCCATTGCAAGTGATTGCATTTGTTTTTAAAGGTGACGTACGATGATGCATCGTGAACTGCGTCAACATTAATGCCACAGTGAAATCAGTCGCCGTCTTCTAGTAAAGCCGACTTACGAATCTTTTCCTCAGCCAGCTTCAAGGAGGAACAATCGGAAATACTACTTTTGGGATAGAACCTCGTGTACCACATTGTCAGTCGCGGCGCATGTTGCAAACTGGAGGTAAGCCTGGTCGGTATCACACACTCTGACAAGAGTTGAAATGCAGACCCGAAATTGAGTTCGTGCCTTAGTGGATGCCAATCAACTGCAAAGCTCGAATTACAACCATTCTCATAAATGTGCATATTGAAGCAAGATTGTTGCTGGCTCATAACATTCTGCGTTAAATAATTCTCGGAAATCGTACTCTCTGATGCAATTGTTACACAATACAATAAGCTAAAATTGAAGCAAATCGAACTATGAGGCTACCCACTACAGGAGGAATCAGCTCAAGAGTCTCCACAACGAAAAACTATCGCCATGGCACACACTCTCCACCCTCCACCAGATACCTCGTCGGCACCGTACGCAAGAACGGGCACATGCGGCTGCGCTGCAAGGCAAGGCCGGGTCCGTAATCCGAGGCAGATGCCACCGGTTGTAAGACATGCTCCATAACCCTATGCACAGGGTTCGTTTCCTCAAATGAAGGGGCAACAGGCCTGTCAGTAGTATCAACCTCTTCGGCCTATCGACACGATTGTCACTGTGCGAAGAGGCTGACCTTTATTTCTTACTAAAGGGATGGAGAGATTCGTACGTCAGTGTCTTTTACTGTGGCGATCCGGCTTACGCGTTAATCAGGACAAGTAAATTCAAATGTGATGAAAACTTGTCGAGCTTTCAATTTGTAATTCCCTTCACTTCGTCTAAAAAAGAGGCTGAAAAAGAGTTGCAAATTGGCCTTACTGTAAAGCTAAAGAGAGATGCTATGAAATTGTGTCAGGATTTATTTCGAATAGGCCTTGGCACACTGTCCTGCGACTCTGATGAATCTGTGCTGAACGAATGTTTTTCAGGCTATTCGAGCATCATCAGTACCTACAAAAATACCCTCAAGTGGCAGACGATAGTTCACTTGGATCTGTCAGATGCACAGGATTGTGAATTGAGGAATGATCGGCACAAATCGCTTTTCGATGCGGCGAATTTATGCATACATTACGTCCTCCTTTGCAAACGAAATCATATTCGGCCCAAGATGAATAGATTTAGTGGGCCTTCGAAACTCATTTTCTCAATATAATGTTGTGAAAAATTTCATTTTGCATACAACTGCATGCTGAAGGCTTTTTTGACTTATTTCAGCCGAATACGATGCCTAATTCCTGTGGTTCTGAAGCCGTTTTCCTGTACTACGACCTTCAGGTTGACGCAGTCCACGAGACATCCTCTCACGTTTCGGGTGACAAGGGTCTATGCTTAGCCTGTCTCATGACGGACAGTGACGGCGGAATCTTATTCCTGCAAAAGCTTTATGTCAAGTCCTTGTGGCTTAGTGGTAGCCTAAAGCTTTTGCAAGAATGAGTTCCAGTTTTAACGATAAACGAAGACTCATCACGTTTGCCACAGAAACGAGAGGGGATGTCCCGCTGACTGCGTCAACGCGAAGGTCATATTAAAGCCAAAAGGCGGAAGAACAACGGGAATCAGCTGTCATCTTTTGTTAGGATTAACCAACGACTCTCTTCCTCTTGCAATTTCATACGATTTGAACGTTTCCATAAAAATGTTGTCTCAAAAGATTAAGCGAAAGCGAGTTATTCTTTTTAACTTCCCCATGCCTTCATATGCGAAGAAAACGAAGTTCAACAAGTGCAAAGTAATTTGTTCAGCCAAATTTCGTCTATCTCTGTGTAGTTGAGTATGAAATTGCACCCGCATGCGTACACAGAAACCATAAACCACCAATAGTGATTTCGTATACCTAAAACTGAGCGAAAACCTTCATTTTAGGTTTTCCTTTCTAATAATCGCTTTTGAGTTAGCGCAGTACGTCACCATAGTCGCTTAATATCTCAAGTCTGTCTGTCCGGTTGGGCTAATGAGCTTTTACTGTGAAATGAGCTGTGTGGAATATGTGTGAATATTATGAGAACCATAACCGGGCTGAGCATCTAACACTCTACTCCTGTTGTAAGCACCTTGAAAAAATTAAACTCCTTTTACGAGTTATTCCTTGGGACGGGTCCTGAAAAGATGAAAAAAGGTGAAATATGGAGAATATGGTGTCGAAGTTGCATGGAGATTGGAGGGTATGCAGATTTGGCTGGTTGTAAAATAGATGAAGTCTGTACTTGTGTTCCAGATAAAAGTGGATGGGAAGGGTGCAAAATTGGTAAAGCGAGGCTGGAAAAGAACACCCAGGACAAACAAGTCGAAGCCATCCTGTTGCCATGACGCCCAATTGCTTACGGAATTACGCAGTCTCGGTCAGGGCTTCTTCTTGGGTCATTAAGCCTTGATGACCGGAGCCTGGTGTTGGCCTTTTTTGATCACTTCTGATTTAGGACCGGTATTGCGTATTGACACACACAGGCACTCGAACAAAAGTAGCAGGACCAATACAAGAGAAAGCCAAACAATTCTATATCTACCAGGATTTTTATTTTCTTTTGCTTAATTGATTCTATATAGGAGCTAAGATAGAACAGGATAGTTTTCTTGCCCTAGTTTTAACGTGATGCTTTTATAGGAATGAGACCCAGCTCTGATGATGTCCATCATATGATGGACGAACGCTCAGCCCGTTTTCACCCGAAGCGAGGGAGGATGTCTCGTGGACTGCGTCAACCTGAACGTTGTAGTAAGGCCAAACGGCTGCATTACAACGGGATTCATCCATCCTCTTCTGGTGAGATCAACCTATGAATCTCTTCTTCATGCACTTTCATACGAAATGAAAGTCCCCCCAACAAGGTTATCTCAGGAGATTCATTAAAACCCAGTTACTCTTCGTATCTATAATTATATTTCGTATTGGTCTGGATACTTTTGCTCGATTGTGTGTGTGTGTATTAACGTCTATCTAAATCAGAGTGATACAAAAAGGCTAATGTCAGACTCTGGTCATCAAGGCTTAACGACCCAGAAAAAAGCTCTAACCGAGACTGCGTAAGTCCGTAAACAAGTATGGTTAAGATAATAAAATATAAGCATGCTTGTGCGTAAGTCGGGCTACAAAATCACTTGTCTTAACCTCTCCATCCAATGTCGCTAAGCATATACGAAGAAAAGGCAGGTTTCGAAAAATCTTCTCATATAAGGTTAACGTGAAGACTTCCATTTTGTATGGAAGTACATAATAAGAGATTCGTAGGTCATTTGCACCAGAAGACGTCGGCTGATTCGCGTTGTACTGCAGCCGTTTGGCCTTAATACGACATTCAGGTTGATGCAGTTCACGAGACATGCTCCAACGTTTCGGGCGAAGACGAGCTGAGCTTTCGTTTGTCATATGACAGCATCAACCTGAACATCATAGTTAGGCCTAACGGCTGAAGTACTATGCGAATCAGCCGACGTCTTCTGGTGAGAGTGTCCTTCGTCATGTACTCTCATACGAAATGACAGTCCTTACATCAACATGGTCATTAAGGTTTAACCATTCAAGGAAAGGCATGACTAGAGCTGCGTAAAATGGTACGTCTGGTTTGGCTGATGAGCTTACTCTAACATGTCGGACGAGTGCGATGGACGTTAGCACCATCCTTGAGAGGACAAGTTGAGTCGCCATCCGAAAGAAGGCGACTCATCCTCCTCTCTCACTCTCCTTCAATCTATCAATCTAGAATAGGTAGTAAAAATTCAAATCACGAGGCACATGCAAGACCATTAGAAGCATTTTCATCCTACGAAGTTCGCACTGAAACAATGGAATAGGATAGGCCCCCTTTTTGTGCCCTACAGAAAATCGTAGACACTACGTA